GTTCTGATGGAAATGAGAGTCATTCTTTTTTGAAATAAAATTTTAAAAAAAAAACAGAAGTGATTGAAAGAGGATTTTGTCAAAAACAAGGAGAGAAGCAGCTGTTTGAATGATTCACTCTAATAAAATGGTAGTAAAGTTTAGCACTTCGTGGTAAGGCAGACAGCTCCCCAAGCATTATCGTAGTCAAGCACTTGTTTTTCAGAATCAAACAAGTCTTTAAAATAGCATTACCATTAAACATCTGTGGGAAAAGAACAGCTACACTGAGAATTCTATTTGCATCTAATCATCTCTCACCCAGAATGTAGCAGTCAGGAGCTTACACTGCTCTTTTTTTTTCTCTTTTGAGGATAATCGTTTTTACAAAATGTGTTGTTGCTTCCTAACAAAAAGAATCTGGACAAGTCAAAGTAAAACCTTCAAAGGCAAACTAGCACCAGCCTTTGCAGGACCACACATGCACTGGTGGGATCGGCTTATTTCTTTTATCTGCTTTGCCAGACAGTAGTTCATCTAAGTTGCTGATGAGCAGAGCAGCATTACTTTAAAAATCGCATTATACCAGCATAAGGTATTATTGTGGATAATCACATTTTTATCTTAGAGAGCACAGGTTAGAGGCAGTTTTGCTGATAAATAGAAATGCTCATGTTAGAATAAATACTGCAACCTACCATAAAGAAAGAGTTTGAAGGAATACATCTGTAACACACAAAAAGAAGTTTAGAGTATTGGTTTTAGCTGTTGATGCTGTTACCATTTCCCTTACTCCTATTAGCCTTGATAGGGTGGAAATTTTTGAGCCTCTGAAGAGCTACATTGCCCACAACATACTACAACCCTGCCAAATCAGCAGGTCTCTCACGGTTTGCTGCTAAGTTTAGAGGGGAAATCCAAGTTCACACTGAAAATGTGCTGCAATTACAGGCAGTGTTAGCTGTCAAAGCAGATACCATCAACAATTTTCTGGCAGGACAGCCTGTGTCTGAGAGTTTCTGAGATATTCTGTAGAAAGAAAATAATGTATATGTATATTGCAAGCTCTTCCTGTTCTCTGTTTAGGTGTATATTGACTAGAAGGACTGTATAAAATTCTTGAAGAGATTTAGAACCAGAGCAACACTAAAACAGCCCAATAGAGTGACAAGAATAGATCTGGTACAGGTCTGCAGTGCCACTAAACTCTTTGATCTCCTCCTCTAAGTAGCAGGCAGAAAGGAACTGTCATTAAAAAGACCCTTAAATGTGATGCTCTAATACAGTATGTATGAAGCCCCAAGCAAAAAGGTCCTCGTAACAATCCCCAATACCACAGTAGACACTATCTATATTTGAGAGGAAAGATTAAAAACGCTTTTCTCCCCTCTGTTGTTATTGTTTAAATATGGACTCTGTGAATAGAGAAAGTGAATAAAAATCACAAAAACAGTAAGACTCTTAATTACATTCTTACAGAAAGAAGTTGATTTTAAATCCTTGAAGTCTTTGCAAAACAGTTTTACTAAAGCTGCTATTAACATTTTCATAAGCAGAAAAAAAAAGTGACCAAAGTGGCTTCAGGAGTCACATAACAGAAAATAAACTGGAATAGAAGCATAATTAAACCATGGATATCATAAATACACATATAGCTATCCAAAGGGAATCTTTAGTTTATGAAAACTGACCAAGTAATATTTCTACCCCATGAAGTATCTGTGAAGGCAGTTTTAACTGAAATATTTTATGGCTGAAAACTCTTTTCCGTCAAGAAAATCTTGAAGAGAAAATTTTCTATCAACTACCTTCTGGCAATATTGGTCCTGTGAGAATCCAGCTGTGAGTCTGAGCATCATGCAATGCACAGATGATCTACCCAGCTTCACAGGCCTGTGAGGAACAAATAATATCTGCAATGTGTCTCCCACTACATAAAATGCTGGCATCTGCATCTATCTCTTGTACCATGTGTTTTCTTGGTGCACATCCAGGACACTAGAACATCCTCTCTCTCTCAGTTTGGCAGTTATGCTGGAGGTGAAAGGGAAATGGTGCTCCCCAAGCTCCAGTTGTGGCCCTTAAGAGCAGCAGAGGAAATAGCTTTGAGGCCAGAAAAGGTGGAATTGCCAATGTCCCCTCTGAAGGAGATGTAGTCTATAGTTCAGTCACCAGTAGGTCTATAGTCCAGTCACTCTAGACCGGGCTGCACACCCAAAATCAGCAGCACAGAACAGAGGTGACTTCTCAGCAAGGCCAGTGCAGGCCCAGCACCAGCACCAATGCTCTAGCCTGTCCCCTAGGACACGTGCTCAGTGCCCATGGTCCCATAGCACTGCCTACAGAAGGAAGAATTAGCATGGGTATTCCCATGTTATTACATAGGGTATCAAGCCATGAGTTTAGTCTCAGTGTATATTGCCTCATGTGAAAATTCTTGGTTTCAAACAGAAAAATAATCATCTCAGAAGAATAAGTCGCCAGCTTCCAAAAGTTAGCTCAGAAATGCAAACACAGCTTCAGAGAAACCTGCAAAATCCTTGCCTAAGAAGATTTAACTAGCAGCCATTTAGGCCATGGAATGATAAATGTTTCCTTAGTCCTGATTCAAAATGTAGTATTTACTTCAGGGGCTTATTCTTTGTAACCGTATCCTAATATCCCTGTATTTTTCTCAAGGAAAAGCTATTTGTCTGAACTTGTTATTTATTCCCTTTGAGCTTTTGTTATTCCCCTCTTCTCTCTGTTAAGCTGAGAACATTATGTGGAACAAAACAGGCAGCTCTGAATGCCAATGGTATCCACTTGAAATGTTTCTCTCATTATTACATGAAAGTAAGTTGTATTGTAATGGATGAAACATTTTTCTGAGACGGATTCTGTAATCCTGCTTTAGCCATTATATTCAATCATAAGGTTATGCAAATGGCTTCACCATTAGCCTGTAAAACAAAGTACATACTTGAACACTTGATCTTGCAGCCAGAGTTTCTTGTATATTTTAAATTCTACCTTTATTTCATGAGCGATCATGCTGAACAGAACGAGACCGTTTAATAGATCAGAATAGTCTGTAGCACAAGGAAAAGGGTTTGGTGCTGCTGTGATATCAGCAGTTTCAGAGATATGCAGTCACTTGCTGATTTATGCTACACCTAAGTAAATGCAAGAGGAAATTGTGCAAGTTTAAGTCGTTTAAAATAGCTCCACTGAAGTCTGTGGAGTAATTTAAAACCTACAATAGTGTAAAAGAACAGATTAGAAGTGCACTATTAGAGGTTAGAGGAGAGGTTGCAGTCAACTATTCCTTAGTACGAGATATCCATTAATTAAAAGCAGAAGATAAATTATATTCCTAAAGCCACAGGTGTCACAAGCAAGCAGTCTTCCCATCAAGTTGAACATATATATCAGTTCCACTCATGTATTTTACCTACAACACCCTACCATGCATTTTTCCCCAGGGACAAATACTTGGTGAAATTCTACCCACCTTATTTCTTCGTTCCCAAAGATTGCTCACAGAATTTGGGTTCTGTATATAAGGTGTTACCCAGAGGTAATTGGGATAGTTCTTTTACTCACTGATTAATAACTTTTTTTTTTTCCTTCAAATTCACACCAACAACTGAAAGATACAGCACCACCAGAAAAGGCAGAGCAGATGGCCAGATGTACTGCTGTTACCCGCATCTTGGACTACACCTTTATTAATTCAGTTTGCAAACTTTTACATGTAATTGTGCTTCTACGCACACATTCTGACTCTAGATTACTCTTCCATAGAAAAGTAATATATATGAAATATGGCAACAATGTAAATGAAATATTTTGATGTTAAAGTTTCTAGAATAGTTTTATTTATTTATTTATTTATTTATTTATTTTTAAGTCAAGCTATGCAGAAGGTCTTCTCACCACATAATATTGAATTATTGAATTCAGATTCTGGAATGAACATAGAAAAGACACCACCAGGTGACACAATTTTGACTCAGCAAAACAACAATTTCCATTCCTACACTTTACTGAAAACAAACACACGAGGGAAAAATCCCAGCCTCCATCTGTACCCTTAAGTATTATAGGAATGATAAATTGACTGGAAATTGGCCATTGAGAGAAGACAGGATAAAAGAACTGAAAGCTATTTCTTAGAAATCATTCATCAGGTGTTCTAAGTACAATTAAAAAATAAACAAACAAACTTTATACCTCCATTCAGCACTATAGAGGATAGGTCATGGTTGCTGCCACAGTTCCTCAAGACACTGTCTCAGAGTTTGAGCTGAGCTACTCTCTACTGTCTGACATGACCAAAGAGGGCTCTCTTCCCCTGAGAGCAAATAAAAAGTATTTTTTTAAGTTTCTTGTTGAATTATGCTGATTCGGTAAAACTGGAAATGCCTTACAGAAGTTGATTTGGTCAAATAAAACTTCGTTCCATGTTTCTCAGATTCAGAAAGGAACCTGCAGTACGGAAAGGGAAGCTCATGCTAGATCCAGGATTTGAACCTGTTCCGTTCCTACCCCAAGAAGTTGCTCTACTCAATATACTTCTGGCTGCCTTCAGGAATTATTTCTCTGGGTTTGTTCCTGGAGAGATTCAAAACACCTCAGTTTTATCCCAGTGTGGAGTAAGACCAAAAGCAAAAGCCTCAGAAGTGTTTACATAAATGCATATTTGTTTTCTCGCCAAGTCTAATAAGAAAGCAGTGGCTCATACCGAACCTTTTGTACATGGCACAAACATATCCATAGAATGATACATTCAAAAGGGCCTAAATCTATGCTTGTCGCTTTACCTTCTTTTCTCAACATACGCATTAATCAGCCATTTGCTGTGATAGAAAAAAACAAAACTTTGAAATGCAATTGTTGGAAAAATGTAACATGACAGGCACAAGTGTCCGAAGTGCTACTAAAAACGCCCACAAAAAAATACCAAGAAGCCATCATAGAGACTGAAGTTTTGAACAGTACTGGTAAGAGCTTAAGCTGAAAATTTCTGTTTCACTTACCAATTTATGGGTAAGGTGGATGGTAATAAGAGGAGATCCTGAGAGATTGTGAGACAACGTAGGTGGAGGTTCCACTTTCAGGGATATAAGGTAACTGGTTGCTGAGATCATATAACCTTTGTAGGCAGCAGCCTCGGGAATCCTTGGAGAGAAAGAAACAGTAGATGAAGGAAGCAGTAAAAGAGCACTTAAAACTTATGCCTTAGGCTGTAAAGTTTTTTGTCCTATCAGTGACAGACTGTGCATGAATAAAATGTTTTCTGTCATCTACCTCTTAATCAGGTAGGTGAATAAATAGTATTTACAATTAATAATATAAGCCATAGTGAATTAAGCATCATTGTGGGTTTCTAAACATAGCATGCTGCTGGAAAGAGCCGATTTACAAAGTGCATTGAAAGTCTTATTTACATCTGCAGCCTGTTACAAGGGTTTCTTGTTTTTCTTTCATTGGCAGAAAAAAATGTTATGTCAGACATTAAAATAACTTCATTCAACTGCTCAGCAAGGTCAAATAAAGCAGAACTTATTTTGCACAGCCCCAGCCACCAGACCTTTCCCTTTCTCCAATCCTTTTATTACTTGCACTGCCAGTAACCAGAATGTAAATTGAATTCGTTCAGAGGGAGAATTTGCTACTTTCATATGAAAATTAGAGAAGGATTTATGTGAAGGTCAGTACCCAGAATTTTGAGATTCTTCTTTTCTTTAGGATTAAGGAGAGGCACTTTTTTTCCTTACTCATTATCTGCTGTCTTAACTTTGTATTTAAAAAGCTAGATGAATTGGGATACACGTAAAGAACTTCAGCACACACAGGAAATAGTATTTCTATGTTCCATGCTCGCTAACGTCAGTCTTTTCTCACCGTGGCACAGTCACAGTTATGTGCCTGAATGCCACATCTATCACCTTATTGCCTGTAGTTAGATTATTACACATTTATGCAAACAAATGACTAGGAGTAGATTTGGGCTCAAAGCCTTTTTGTTGTTTTTTAAAGGAAAAAACACAACTTAACTCCCTCTGGGAGGCTGATGGTTACACAGCCCGAAAATAGAAAACTCATCTGGTACTACAGCATGAAAGTTCCAGGAGTTTATTTTCAACCACAAGAAAATGATTTTTTTATATTCAAAAATGGGCAGACTTCAAATTACAGGTGTTCAAGTGACCCAAAGCTAGAAGCAGCCTAAAAGCTTCTTCCTAGCTTGGAAAACATTGCTATTCTAGGTGAAACAAACAAAACAGATACAAGACGAGCAGTTAAGACATGCGTACTTATTTTTAAAACATTTTCCAGATACCTAGGATTTGATTCAAGAAAGGAAAAGCACCCAGCTAACATTGTGCCTATTATTAGAACACACTTTGGACAGATCTGCATGTAGACATGGTTTGCCAATGCTATATATACTGCAAACAATCCAAATAGATTTCTGTCCAGATGATGAAAACTATGAGCCATTTTTGCTCTGGTCTTTGTGTGTTTTCTTTAGCCATGCAGCAGGGGCAGTTCCTTCATTCTCAAATGGGAAGGCTACAAATCTATACAGTTTTGTGGAAGAGGGATACATCTCCACATCCACAAAATTACTGAATTATTGAATAAGAGGACACAAGTGTGTTTGTTCCCTATGTCAGAGCCCCAGAAGTTGTAGCTCTAAGATGACCCATTAGAGCAATGTGTTCTGACATGCAGGTTCTTTTCACCCATTCTCCTAGAGCTGTGTTTATCCTCACTAAACTTTGACTTACATCAAGACCCTACTAATTCTCTTTTTCTCAAGAAGAAATGGAAATTACAGTTTCTATTTAATAAATTGCACCAATCCTCTTGCTTGAAAAACATAGGCTGTCATAAATTATTACCTCTATTTCTTGCCATCTGTAAGAAATGCTTCACACTAATGATAGGGTTCCTTTGCATACACCTGCTAACAGCCCCTTTTTGAGAGTACAAAAGAGTACAACTCTCTACTTGATTTAAAAATGCTATTTAGTAATACTTATATCATTATCTCAGCATGATTAGACTGGTCATAAACCAGGCATCATTATTCCGGAGTTCATAAGTAAATTCCAGTGTAGTTGTGACCTTCCTTTCTTTATACATAGCTTCCTGCAAGGCAGTCCCTAAAACACATGGGAACTGAGATGCTCTATCCTTTTTTCTGCTCTCACACACAACCTGACAAAAAGCTGCAGACTAGATAAGACTAAGAATCAATGTAACCTAATCTATATCATGTAGCAGAGATTAAATAAAAAGATAAATTAATACAAGCTTAAAATAAAAGTGTAATGATTTACATAAATGGCCTTCCAAAATTCCCTGGGGAACTATCTTGCTAAGAGGAATGCAGCTCTTCGTTTACTTTATCTTATCTGCTAATGATTTCATTAGTAACAGCATATAAAGCAAGAGGTCTTTGAAGTATTACATGGTTTATTGTTGTAAAATTATCTCACAGGCTTATAGGATTAGGATTCAGAGTCTTTCTTAGGAGGAATGTTATGTTTTCTTGTTTCATTTAAGTGAAAACATTTCTTTAAGCATGTCACGGGAAAAGATATAATTTGGGTCTTACGAGACAAAGATTAGAATTATAAAATTCTAATATCCAATCTGATGAAAGGAAATAGGTGACAAGGAAAGACAAACACGTTGCTATGGGAATCTGTTTTACAGCAGCATAAAATAAAACATCTAATATAAGCCTTAATCTCTCTCTAGTTAATGACTAAATGTCCTTAGCATTGCAAAGTCAGAATTATGGCTCATAATATATTTACAGTTGTTAAAGACATGACTGTTATAAAGTTATATCACCAGGGCAATAAAAAATAAGCAGCGTGAGAGTTCCAGGGTACTTACTTAGTATCCATAGGGTCAATATTATGAAAGAAATAGTGCATGTTATGGTAAAGCAGGCCAACAATGGTTATCCAAGCTGCAAAAAAAGGCAACCGAGGTTATTCCTTAGAGCAGCAGTTCCCATAGACATTTCTCTCTAGTCTCTAAACTCTCTGTTAATTAAGAGCCTTGATTTCTGTAAATTCTCACATTTTCAACAGAGTTTGATCATTACATAGAAATTATGAACAGCTTACAGGGCAGCACAGGAAACATCAAATGTAAAATAGAAAGATTCAACTATACCTTCAAAATACAAGTTGTTAGAGCAATCAGTTGTCAACTGCGAAGCCCCCACAAGAGCTACATGTCACTAGAAATGGCCTCATGACATATAAGAATCTCTGTCTCAAGGGTTGTTACAGTAATCTCCAAGCTACTTGACCACTGGCATTCACTGCCAGCTCACAAACTAATACATCGGGCAGACAACAAATTAACTGGTTCCCCGTGTTTGAATTTCCAGTTCTCCAGCATCTGACTGAAGAGACAGATTCATATTTTAAGTGTCAGACACAGATGTCCTTTATTTTCCCCTTTTCTGGGTTCCTGGATGCCAAATGTTTAAGCTGATATAATGAATCTTTAATTTAGTCCAATTGTAAAATGTTAAATTGTGGCCTGAAGCTTAAACTTTCTCAGAAATGAGCTTTAGTTGGTTTCTACCTCTTCAGAAGAGATAAATGTCTAATCATTTCAAAATGCCAAGGATGAAAAAATTCTGTCCTGAGAAAAAAATTTGCATGGTGAGAACATCTGAAACATCACTTGCATTATTTCAAGAATACTGCATGTTAGAATACTGCATTAATCATTCATTAATATGACAGGAAAATTGTTACTGTTTTAAGCCAACATAACAGACAGGGATCAAGTCAATTACTATAAAAATAAGGCAAATCAAAAGTAGAACTATTTCTGGATGCCCCGTTTACAATTCTGCACCTCGTGTTAGTTTTTTCCTTACCTGTTTTGTGAAAAGCTTCACTGGGGATGGAAATGTAACTCTGGCCTTTAGATGGAAAGCGATAGTGGGACAAATTCAGAGTCTGAGGATACATTTTTGCCAAGGAGTAATCTGTGTGATAACCCCCCCCCAAAAAAGGAAAAGAAAGAAAGAAAGAAGTCAATAACCATTAGATCTTACTTTACTATATGACTAGGGTAAACTTCTAGTAGCTATTGCAAGTTTTGACTTTAAAGCCCCAGCTGTCCAGCTGTTCGCAGAAAACGGATTGAAACCCACAGGTAGAAAACTGTGTTTGCATATATATATATATATATTATATATATATATATATATTATATAGAGAGAGGACCTTTTTCAGGGGAAAAATGTAGCATGTAGAGTGTTAATATTGCATGGGTCAGTTCACCATGAGCTCAGATAACTTGGTGACTTGTTAGTTCAGTAAGTAAACCAGACTGATACCACTCTGTTAGATGACATTTTAAGGCTTTACTTTAGACTTTTAGGCTAAATGAGAATGCCTAGGACAGCTGAGGGAGACTGTGGGCTGAATCATGGCACTAATAATTCCTCAAGTTATTTGCCTGATTACATAGCACCTCATAAGGCAGAACAAAATGCCAGAATAGACCAGTCACCTTCACTACCTGTAGCATCCAAAGACATGGATGAAACTGGGGAGCGACAAGGGTACAGCACAGCAGTAAGTCAAGGGAGAGAGGAGAAGGGAAGTCCTGCTAAAAGGTATAAACTTGTCCTATTACATGCAAACCCCTGTCCTCAGATTAAAGCTTTGTCGTACCCAGACATTTGTGACTTCAAAACACCACATAAGAGTTTTAGGCAGCACTTTAATTGCTTACACCCTATTGGACTAATTTCATAAAATTTGCACTCTGATCACCTCCCCAAATAACCTCCAAGAAGCTGATGATGCTGTTGGAGATTGATAATTCCAGCCTAACTGTACAGTAACTTTTCTGCAACTGATGCAACATTTTGCACTTAAAAGAGAAAATGCCCTATTTTGATTTCCTCCTCTACGTTGACAGAGGTGCTAACAAGCACGAAAGTGTTTATGATACTGACACATTCCAGAGAGAGAGAACATTTCTGCCAAATCCTACCTGCCACAGGTGAGGTGCCTTCTATGGTTCCAGGTAACAAGTTCTCTGCTAGATGGTGAGCCACATGCACCATCACACAGTCAACAGTCTCAATTAAACCTCCAAATATGGGAGCAGTCTGGAGGGGAGTGGGGAAAAAAGAAGGCTCTATAACAAAAGAAACTGAAGTTCATAGCACAAAATGACAAGGTGTCGTGGTAAATTCCTACTTGAGACATCATTCGACTGCCCTGTCAGATATGTTACTCCACAGGCTTGACATAGTGAATAAAACGTTACATGAATTGATGCCACACAGAGCCCAATGTCATAAGATTGTTTCACAATCCACGCATCATTTGATGAATATATTTGGGACTGAGCACAATGACGTCAAGAAGTGAGCAGATTATTTTAGCAATTCAAAAACCAAAAAAACCCAGCCCACCCCGACACCAAACTAGCATCAGATCTTCATCAGAACATAAATTTATACATACTATAGTTTACCATTTGTTTCATTTTTAATAACACAAGTCAGCGCTCCCTGGCATAAAGCTATATTCAAAGTTTTTGTATGCCCACTGGAAAGCCCAGGCTGAAACCTGATACATAAAAATCTCAGTGAATGCCTGGCTTAACAGAAATCTGTTTGAATAATTATTTGCATCAAAAATGATCACAGATTTTATGCCAAGAAGGTAAATCCAGACATTTGTCTGTCTTCAAAGCCTTTTAGGATTTATTAAGAGCTTAATTTACTTTAGCCTTTCTGTCATTATACGAGCTGTCTATTCTCTAAGTGCATTCAAACTTCAAAAGATCTCAGAAAATTCCTGAATTGTTCCTGATGGTTTCCTTTGCATTCTAAAAGGGTAGATAGGATTCTAGAAAGTGATGAAAGTCTCTTCCCTCTTTCAAAGTTTAAGTCCCCTAAAGCAAGCAGCGTTGTCAGTTTTATATATATGGAAAAAAAGTGAATCTTCAAAACAAACAAACAAAAAAAACCACCCTAGTGTTTCTCAAATTATATAAAGCCAAATTTGGAGTCAAAATCATAGAAAATCTCTTATTTTAAGTCTCAAAAACAATATAAAAGAATGATCTTTGTCTATGGAATTTTAATTAAAATATGAAAGTGCCCTATGAGAAAACAAATGAGTCACACTGCCACTAAGTTATGACAGAAAGAATAATAGAGGCAAACAATGTCATTACTATCCATAAGATAATATGCACGTGCAAAAACCTACAAGCCTAAGCTGTTTGTCTTACCTTTGATTTATCAGTCCAGGCGGGCAATGAAAGAAAGTCTTCAACAACATTTAAAAAAGCCTGCAAGATGGATAAAACTGTATTATTTGATTACTTATTCATCAGCTACATCTTCAAGGAAGCACATAAAACAGATCTTTGCTAGGATTTCCTTATATTAATTTTAAAACCTTATATTAGTGACAGACCTGTTCTCATGCAAGTCACAAATTCATTTCTTACCTGCCAGCTCTCTCATTATATTTCATATTTAAAGTAAAAGCTTGTTAACAAACAACCCTGTGAGGTTCCCAAAAATGCAGTGGTTACAGTGCAGCTAAGTGAACAAAGAGAAAGTTAAACTATTGAATCTCATGTAACACTAGCATTTACCACTTTAATTAAAGAGATGTTACAACAGCACTGGGGATGCATCTGGGCACCATTTCAATGTGACTCTCTACTTCACCTTTGCATTATGTTGTTTTTGATGTCAGGACCCATCACAGCAGTCACTGTTCAAGCACTCAGCACAGTGCAGTCCCTGCCCTAAGAAGTCTTGCTGATAAAGACAATTAGGAGGGGAAATTGGAGCACAGAAAGTGACTGTCACCCAAATCACTGGGTAGCTACAGTCAAACTAGGGTCAAAAGCCAAGTTGCTCCATTTCCTACCTAAAGAACTGCTGCCAGCTGGAGGCAAGGCACTTACATAACTCTCACAAACTGTGTATGCTAGGCCAAAACAGGAACTGGAGTCCTAAAAGTGGAACCACTCTCCCCTGTTTCAATGCCTGTCTGTTAAGGTATCTTAAAATCATCAACACAGATACAAGCAAGTTTCACTGAGAAATGGAGAACAAAGTAGCAATGGTGCTTTCTGAGGACATTATTGCAAGCCGTAATGTACGGGGCTGCACTGAAGTTTTGTTGGATGAGCTTTACCCTTAGGGACTACAGGGCCCATGCTGCTCCTTTCCCAGTGCATTTCTACCAAGCATGAAGGTTATGAACATTATGCTAAACCCGAGAGCCATCCTCAATTGTCCAGGCTCTTTGGGAAGGATTTCTTTCCAAGCTACAGGATGTCTCCAGAATCCTCCCAAAAAGGATACATAGACCACTAGGAAGGGAGGGAAAGTAGGAGAACTAGAGCAGAATTATAACAGAAAATATAACTTGTTTATTTTTCAGAAGCAATTCAGTATATACATGCCAGTAATGAGAGAGATTATTGCACAGCATTTAAAATCAAGTTTTTTGTTGTGCTGTGAGGCATATGACAACCAGGACAGAGATAACGAGAGGAACAAGCACACACACTCAGTTCCTGCCTTTCAGGGAATTAGCTGCAGACAATGCAAAGCCAAGCTATCAATCAGGCATACAAACGTGGCCGTTTGCATGATCAGGACTTTGGTGTTTATTTCCCAAAATAGCCTTGCTAAAGATAATCATGTCCCCTGTTTCTGTCTGCACGTCATTTTCCTGCCACACAAAGCAGCATGAGATAGAACCAGTGAGCAACAAACTGGCAACAGCAACGCTGTGGGAAACAGGTAAGGTATCTGACAGGATGATACACCATTTTCAGATGGGATCCTCCACATAGTTTTCATTCAAATAAAGCTTTCAAAGCTGCATTCCAAGGTTCAGCTTCTGGGTCACCTGGCTTCACACACAGATCTGAAGGAAAGATACCTCAGTCAGGAGAAGAGCAGTGTTTTCTGACAAGGATTTGTTGGGCAAGTTCAATGAGATGTTTCCTAGGTAGTTCAGCATAATATCTGGGAAATGAAACTTCCTTCTTTCCTCAGTCAGATTAGTTATGATGGGGTGATAAGCATTCATAGACAGCTGCAGGAGAGAAAGATCTCATCAGAATTTAAGGCAATCATTATTATGTTTTTTAGACCCAAGGGAGCTAAATGACAGTTTTAAATTCTCTGAGACACCCCTACAGCATTGTCAAAAGATGCAATTTCAAGACTTGTCCTAAGTCCTTCTCTGTCTGTAAGGTGAAAAAATAAAACAGGTTCCTAACCCAGTCTTTTTCTTCTCACTGGATAGAGCATAGCCTAGTATGACCACTAGGAAGATGCAGAAGCGACTATGTAAGCCAACCAAGGAAAAAGAAAGATGAATAGATATGGTAATCAGGATCAAACACATGTCTTCTTTCATCAGAAATTGAGGTCATATCTGCCGTGGCTTCCTGAAAGTCTCTGAACAAGATAACGACAGATGGAACTTTGACACCGCAGATACTAAACCGGCGGAAATAAATTGCAACAGCTACCTGCACATAGGTTGACTGATTGTACATAGACTGTTCATTCTTTATTTAATTTGTAAACTCTTTCATTTAAGATTTTCTAAAAGGATGAAAATAGTTCCGTTATTTTGATAACTGGTTTATCTAATTTCAAAAGAAATGAGGAAAAAAAGCCACAATTTTGAATGTCCTCCTATATTTGCAGGAGACACTGAAACATTTCATAAATTTGGAAGTGAAAAATATATCTTTCTTTAACATAAATTTCTTGTATCTGTCCTCGGTCAGTTCTACTGTTTATTAGTAATTCCATAGTTCATCCATCTTCACTTAGTGGCTGAAAATATTCACTATACGTATCTGAAGAACGTTATAATCGGGGTACTAAAATAAATGCCATTAACAAAAATCAAGCTGCAGAAGATCTGTAACTTTTTGTCATATATACACATTCTGATATTAGAGAAAGGAGTTATAAGGAGTTTCCTACCACAGGACTTGCAGTGGTTGTCATCACAGACCCTGGAAGTGCTGAAGAAAGCACAACTTGTACACCTGAGAAAAATAAAGGCTGCTTTAATACATGTATACCAGAAACAAAAGAAATACACTTTTAGCAACTCGTTCTTGTATTCCTGATACAGGCTGGAGCAGTTCTAACTAAAAGTATCATACTTGCTGTTTGTATTTTTACTTATTTCCAGTATTGTTTATTCTATCATTTTTCTAACTATTTACTCTATTGTTTTTCTCAATTTTATTTCCTCATCGTTAGACAGTTGAGTTTTGCAACCTAATCCAGATTTTTAAACATGTAGTTAAAACCTTTCCTTGCAAACAGGAATTTAAGCATTATTTGTAATTCATGTCAAGTCTTTCTATTAAAAAAGGAACAATTATATAATTAAATCACTGACATACAACTTCATCCTCTTGCTCTGTCGCAGACACTTTGGTAAACTATTAGGGCAAACTTTTCAAAATCCCCTATGCCTTATGAAGGATAAACAGTCTAAGGGCACTCAGAGGCAAAATACAGCCTCCACTGGTAGTTTCATATTATAGATAATGTCTATAGTAGGTATTTGAGTTGATTTCAAGCAACAGTGAGGTTTAAATTAATCTATCTTATCTTTAGTAATATATGTTGCCCGCTAGCACTATATCCACTGCAAATTACCATATGAGTATGTCATGGGTGATTTGTCAAGAAAAAAAAAAGAATAAACTTGATTTTGGATGGTTTCCAGCGGCTCCTTTTAAAATATATTGATTTCTCTCTGTGCACAGGGATTTATGGGTCATTTGTGATAGCAAAATAAAATTTTCTTCTAATCTATGTCTTCCCAATAATTTATATGTGCTGAAATACAAACTCAAACAGTAGTGGTGTACATTGGTCACTTTTTCATGCATCCAAAAGAAATATGATAATTCATTCTATTAAAAACAAGCTGTTCTGTTAAATTTCTTATGTCAGACCACAGTAGCTCAGATTCATCCCTGGTTTCAGCCCTCCAAGGACAATAAATGAAAACCAAGAATGACTTTGGTTTACTACGTTGATTACTAGCAATATTCCTTGCTTCCCAAGATTGTGCCAATTACATCTGCCAAGATTGAAATTAGAAAAGTCTGATCAGTCCACATCATGAAAGAAGAAGGAAGAGTTAATACTCTGCATTCCTCAAGTGCTCAAAATCGTCTGAGCATTTAAAATACTGGCTTAAAGCTCATAAAATTTGCAGAAATAATATACCTGGAATCACTTCAAATTTTTATTTTAAACCTCCAGAAAACACACATCAAGCTTTATTTTAAACTAAGAATCTAGACATTTATTTTAAATTTTCACTGAAAACTGAATACTATTTCAGTATTAAATATATTACATACATAATACTATTTTTAGTATTGAATGAATACTCTCTGAACCAGGATGCCTGAAAAATCACTTTTTAAAAGGCAAAATTTTTTTTGAAGACGACTACTGATTTGTGTTGCAAAGAAAATAGGTTGCTCTCAGCTGGAGTTTTTTTCAGTGGATTCAAGCCTAAATATATTGGGTTGTTGTAATCAAACCCTAAAATCAAAAGTGTGCATTCTCCTTTCAATGGTTTCATCAAGAGTTCTGTGTTACACAGAGAGGTTCTGTTTCCCATGGACTCAAAGGGCAAGAGTGACAGATAGCACAAGAGTGATGGATTTAATGGCTTTAGGTCTCAAAAGCCTTGTAAACATAGAACAAAGCACTGAAACTGCCAGCGAAGCCAAATGGTCAAGATGCTCCAAAACATAGTTCAGAAATGGATCTTTTCTCATTGCTATTTACACTCAAGCATTTTATAGCAACAAAGCCTCACTTGTGGTGAAAGGTTCATAACAAGGATTCATAGGATGGCTGATGGAGTTTACTGGTCATTGTCTTTTTCTGACATCTTTGTTAAAATCACCATTGTTTCACATTCACAATATATTTCCGCATCTTTACAGAAAAGAACTTATAACGACAGTGCAAATACTCACCTATAGCAGCTGTAAAGTACTGCTCAATTTCATTGGCAGTGAGAGCCCTTTCCCATATAATGAATTCATCAAACGCCCCATTCACATAGCGCTTAGTTTGATCCCCCTCTGTCCCAGTCAGGAGATTGGCACTGGGGTCTCCATAATCGTAGAAAACTTTCCCACTTGGATCAGTTGTGTTTAGAGTTCCATTCACATAGACTTTCAGTCCTTCTCTTGATTTCCAAGTGAAGAGGATGTGTGTCCAATAAGGACCTGCAAAATATTGAGAGCCGCAGCAAAATCCATGAATCGATTCCATTCCATTCCTGTTCACAAAGTTTTTGCGAACTTTTACAAAGCCATAGGGGTATATTGAAAGTGCTAACAGTTATGGAACATTTGTGTCATGTATTAATCTTTATACACATGAAAAAGTTCATGCTTCAGCAGAATGCCTGTTAGCTTTTCGCTGAACTTTTATTGGGGCTCACTGAAGTTTTATAAATTACAATTGCTGGGTACTATTAGCCAAGATTTGAAGTCTCTTCAACACCGACTCAAAACTCCCCATTCAGCAAGAAAGCATAAAAATTGCAAGAACAAGAGGGAAATACAATAACTAAAAGTTGTCTGTTTTTGTTAGAGTTCAGAGGCATGAAGAATATATATTTTTATTTGCAATAATCCACATGCATGCAAATTATTCTTACCATTTAAGCTTTTATCTTGAAATATCATTGCAAAACTGATTTATTAAGCTGTCTAACAATGTTACTATGAAGAAAAAAAAATCTATTTTCCCAATTTAAAGGTAACTTAATTAAGAGAAGATGTAATGATTGCCAGTGGCATTATCAGAATCCAAGAAATTCTTCCAGTCATCAGGTAATACCACTTCCCAGCAGTATACAGTTTAGATGAAATATAAAAGCAGGAGGCTATTTTCCATTCAGAAAAATGTTTCTTAATACCATGCGAGGTATAAAAAAACCTTGATATTTAACAGATAATTAAATGATCAACACACTAAACACATAGCAAGATAATTATTAAATGAGGTTTAAATCTGGGAGGCACGATAGCAGCACACATATCCAGTGTTAGAATATACTGAGAGCTGTTAGGGATTAATGCACATTCCTCACTCTGCTGTTTCCATATAAGCACCTGTTAATCTGTTGATGTCAATAAGAAATCTATTTAAGGAACACCTGGAGTACAGGCTCAAGGATATTTACTGAATGGCATCAATTCACGTTTTCTCCCTCCTCACATCAGGAGGGCTCAGAGCTGCATCTTTTTCCTCTCCTTTCCTCCTCTCCCCTAAGTCCACTTCTCTTTCCTCAAGTTGTAATCTTAACATACAGTAATAAAGTCAAATAACAAAGAGATAAATGAAGAAAAGGTGGCCTTTTACCTGGTGGACTAAAGCTTGCCTTCCACTTCATCATTGCATTTCCACGAGTGTAAAATTCCACAGAGCCTTCCCCTTCATTTGAACAGATTTTGAAACCACTGGAAATTACTTGTCCACCAGAGGCAGAGGGAAACCTGGTCTGCTGGTCTTGAGTCTTCCAGAAAAAGGAGAACGTGACTCCTGATGGAGAGGAGGGCATTTTAAATGAAAAAACAAACAGAAAAAAAGTGCAACTGAAAGATGCTGTAGATTAGAGAGTGGAAATGCTTTTGAGGATAGATCATCACATAAACAAGGACAACATTCTTGGAATCAACAACACTCTAACGGTTTAAACTAAATCAATTTTTATTCCTTAGATTTGCATTGCACTGTCACAGCACACAGTAAAACCCACTGCTTCCCAAGTAGGTCCTCTCAGTTCAAACTAATGTTCCTTGAGCACCAAAATAATGAAGTCTTTCCTCACCTCCTACAGATTTATCCTTCCCTTCAATTCTCTGTCGTTCTGTTCTCTATAGCGCTACAAGTTTCACCTTCTTGGGATCTCCTTTACTCCTATGATTTTAGCTATTTCAAAACCCAAACCTTCTTTCGACATCTTTGCCTATGCTTACCAAATAGCACCCTTTGCTGACCATTCAGACTGTAATCTAAAATGCAAAAGGACTGTAACATAAAAGGAAAATATTTTTCTTAGAAAAAGGGTGAGGATTTTTTTTGGCAGAAGGAGGGTTTTTTTTTTTTTTTTTAATTGCTGCAGTGATTTAGCATTCATTGTTTATGATTTTGTCTCTTCACTGTTTATCTGTTGAACATTTCAGTGTTTTATGGGTTTAATGTTCTTGTTTGTGAAGTATTGGAAGAGCTCTAGTACTATAAAAATAATTTATTCTGATTATTATGTTATACTGTAGCTGTAGAAGTATTAGTACTTATGTTTTTATTTCCCGGTGGTATAGAAAAAATATTAAAAGATATGTATAAGAAAATATGCCTGCAGGAGGATTCTCAATTACCTCTTCAATACTCTCATGTAGTACCTGTATACCATTTTGTTTTTTTCTACTTCCTTAAAATGCTAATACACAATTCTTACTACAGCAGCTCACAATAAATCCTATTTCATGTAATGTTACCATTGCTGCTAAGAGATCGTACTGGAAAACCTAGCATCCTAAATATGAAACCTATAGGGCAGCTTACCTATTTGTCGAGCAGTTGTTTTTCAGCCCTAAGGTAAATTGCAGCTAGAAAAGACTAATTTTTCAGCCATGAGCACTCAATTGTCTCAAAAGATAGTGTCAAAAATTAGAATTTTAGAGAGCTCATTTCCACTAGGAAATCAATGATGCTCTGTTATTTAATGACATAGTTAAACTGCATAATAAAAGCAAATAGTAATGATTGAGTTGACTGACCTTCTGGTCCACAGACTTCTGGGTTACTAATGCAAGAATTTTTGTAGCTTCCAAAGAACAGAAAGGTAACCCCTTTCTCCTCAGTGACGTAAATTCCTTTGTTCACCATTCCTTCTACAATATCTAAAGAAGAAAAAGCAAAATTTCTAACATATCCAATTAAAACTTAACAGAAACATTATTTTAATATTCATACACTTCATTATTTCAAAATAATCCAAATAAAAATGATATTTTCCAGAATTCAGAAGACAGGACATTTCATATGGATATTTGTCTTATTGTTAAGAATTAAAGATGGTCAAGAAATTCTTCAATCCATTAAAAAAAAATAGATTTTTCTGCCACACACAGCATTTTCCACATTCCTTTTCAAAATGACCAAGGCCAATTTACATCAAAAATATTTCAGTGAAATACATTTGACCAGCTATATTCAAGAGGCACTGATGTCCTTTTTAGATATGCACTGGTAAGCCATCATTATCATTTGCAAAGGCTTTTTCTTTTTCTAGCATGTAATTGTCTTGTGATTTCTGATTGTGATTTTCTATTGTGTTCTCTCCTAATAAAAATTCATCCCAAATATCAGCAAAAATATTGGACAGTTTTCAGGTATCTTTCTCTCTGAGCAAGGAGAAAAGATCTATCTCTACTTGACAGATAAAGTTTAGTTTCTCTAAAAACTTTGAGAGCTTAAGTATTACAGACCGAAGCAAAAATTTCTAAATGCTTTGAGTCACATAAATTCTAAATTAACTGAGCCAGAATAAACTCCATAAGGTAATGCATTCCTGTTTCCATAGCATTTCCTTTGCCATTGATGTCACTCTTTTTTGAATGTATCTTATTATGTGAGAACTATGCAAATGGCCTATAAAGCAGATAAGTGAGAACTGAAAAGAATTAGGTCATTTGAAGTTCATTATTAATAGAGTTCAGATTTGCCAACACGTTTTTACAGTTAGAGAGAAGAAGAATGTTGGTTTTAGTCTTCTGATATAAACCTGGTAGTATTCGAGCAGCCCAAACAACAGTTGTAACATTTTCATCCTTCTCCTTAGATCAGATTTTCCACAAACTAAATGCAAGTTGATACTCAATTGTAAGGCGGACAACAGGTCAGATGTTGATTGCAGCTACACTTATATAAATCTACAGCAGGCCTAATGACTTCAATGAAATTACTCTGAGCTTATGCTGATGTAGTGATAATAAGTTTCCAATCTGTTATGTTTCTGCCTGGGGAGTTGTCATTTTCTTTTCTTGATTTTATCTCCTGGTTTATGTTGACATTTTTAAAAAGTCATCAAAAGAGCACACCTCTGAGATTTGTGTCTGTTTTTGCTATATGTTAATCAAAGATGTCATGATTGAAGAGCTCTTACAGGCTTTGCAGAATTGGTTGCATTTATTTTTCCTAATTAGTCCCTTCCAACAGTCTATAAATTGGTGAAATGTTTTTTTCCTTTTAACCTTGAAAAAGGTCAGCCTTTTGTTCCTATATATTTCTCCGAAGTATCCATTTAGTTTAAACTTAAAAGAAACAGTTTTTGGAGAGTCTCTGCTGCTCATCCTTCCATGAAATGCTGAGTGTGAGGATGTCTTTCCAACTAATTCAGAGTAATTCAAGTAATGTTGGAGGAGTGCTTCTTAATTTATGTCAGTATAAGCACAAACAGAATTTTACCACATCATCACTTGAACCAAAACCCAGTTTTAACTTTGAATCCAGTGCATAAGAACCATCCAAGCTTGACAAATGCAGAACAAAAAAAAGTAAATCCTCACCTACAGTTGCAGAGAAGTTAGAGTAGGCAGAGTCATTGGTATATACAAAGGTAGAGTTATGGGAAGGAAGCACAGTGAAGCTGTGGATTCTTAGAGCTGGGTGGAACAACAAAAGAAAACAGGCAAAACAATGAATAAACACAACCAGTAATGAATTAACCAGTTCATATCTCTCAACCGCTTCTCACCAAGGACTTGTGGACGTGTAAACGTTGAATCATTAACCTATACCTTTTAAGTAGATACAGTATCACTAAAGTCTGTCTTTTCTAACAGGAACTGAAGAAGAAAAACTATAAAACCATACTACTGCATTCAAATGAAGGGCTCACATAATTATGTCAGTAAGGAATCAATACAGTTATAATGAAGATCATTATGCTGGTGCAAAACCTATTGGTAATTCAAGTCTAAGGACAACTGAATAACATAAGCAGGCCTAGGACAGCCTCAGCTTAAAGATATTTGTTTGGAACTGTTTTATCTACAGCAATCTTCTACACTATAACTATTTACCCTGAGCAGGCAAATAGAGTCTGATTCAAAGCCTATGAAAGTAAATGGAGGCATATTGATTGATGAAGAATTTAGACCAAGTCAAGATCACAGAAAGAAAAGGCAAATGCTCTTAAGTGTCATAAAACCTCATGACAAAACACATGGAAAACTAGAGATCAGATGAAAACTTAATCATGTCTCTATTTTTTCAATTCACTGTATTTACGTTGATTGTGTCCCTTCAATTGTTCCTACCAGCTTTACTGCTGACATAATCAAACAAATAATTTGCTGACACTGACTCTCACCACACAAATGCATTGAGAGATATAAATCTGGCTTCACACACAATGACTTCAACAAATAAAACGGATTAACATGACGGACAGATTATGATGCTTCGAGGATTTAAGAGGAGAAATATGGAATGAAAATAATTGCATGACATTATGATGAGTGGAAAAACATCAAGAAAGACTCCAGCAATAAAAAGAAGGGCTGTATAATCAGAATGGTATCAAAACAAGAAAGTTGCCATCAGCATCACATTACAACAATAAAGAAAGGCATAATATAAGCAAATGAAAACTAAGCATCTGCATTGGTCACTACACATTTTAAAAATCAACATTGTCAGAACTGCACTGCAGAGAAAGACCTTGGCTACCGGCACCATCTCCCAATACTGAGACAAGGTCCTCCAAACCATTTTTCAGCATTTGAGTCACTGGCTCCTTTATAAATAACTTTAACACAACGACCTAAGAGGAGTCAAAGAGGATTGGTGATGGGAACCAGTCCTATTCCTGTAAGAATTTCTGTAGAATCAGCAACTATGTATATTCTGCTATAACTCTTCCATAATGCTAAAGTAAAAGACTTCTGAATTTCATCTGAACAGTGCCATTTTAATATCTTATTTTAAAAAGCTCTTTGTAACTTAATTATGCAATTATAATTTTTCCAAGAGTGGTATTTTGTGTTTCATACATCTTTTTCAGTACTGAAAAACAACATATTTTTAATAAAGTGTCAAAAGAGCGGTAAATAGAGTGCTTTACTCCAGCTGAAACTAAGTGCAGCCCACTGCAAGAAAAATTATTTAGCACTGTGTTAAAGTAGTCAAATGGTAACTTTTTATAGGCCAAATCACGATCCCGTTGAAGTCAGCAGGAGTGCTGCCATCAGTCTCTAACAGGAGTAGAATAGTGCCCTGACTTATTTCTATTTCATCTAATATCATTTCTTTAAGAAACTTCCTGGAAAGAGGAGTCCAAGTCTACATTCAAAATACTTGGAATGAGAGATTTTAGCTATTTATAGTATTTTTCTCCACTTATGATATAACAAATTTATGAGTAATAAATAGCAATAATTAGAATAATGACTCCCTGTAGAACTGTTATCCTGATTACGAACTTCCCTTTCAAATTAGTGAGTTTTGCCTTATCAAGCCTCTCATGATTTAGATTAGTTTGAAAAGTTTTTTTTAAGTATTGTTACAATGTTGGTTGTAAGGAATCATTCAAGAATAAATATAAATGAACAGTAAATATTTACACAGCAGCTTGTCTGTCTCTTTCTATGGAAACTATGCACAATTTTCCAAAGTGTGTATAGTAGTCGGACATTTAACTCCCCCCAAAAATATGCATCCTCACTATTGGCACAGCCAAAGAAGTCACGGAGTATATTTTTGCTTGTTAAACATGCACCAAATCAACTAACAGCAACATGACTTTAAGTAAGCATTTATCTTTATAATTCTAGCAATGCATAGACACCTCAAAGTTTCTAAGAAGGCTATATATTAAAAAAAGTACTCAATTGCAATAGTAATGCTTGGATGTCCAGGTAATAAAATACCAAAAAAGTTTCAACAGCTGTTGTACAAAAACTAATCTCTATTTCTCCTGCTGCCTTACTACTTACAGACTGCCACAAATACTTATGTTATTGCCATTGCCAACAAATCCTGTGTCTACCTCCATTTGAATCTCGAAACTCATGAATTCCATCCACATCTTCCAATGGCCAGTAATGGGAAGCTGATGCCAGAACTTGGAACCCTTTCAAGGAAAAACAGATGAGCAGGTCATTTAAGTAAGGTCCAACACCAAGTGTAACAAGCCTCCTCAGAAGAAAACAATAAAGGAGGTCAGTAGGTTGAGTAAAACAAGATATTTTATGTAAATCAAACACTGAACATAAGCACGAAAGGCAGACGATAAATCAAAATGATATATGACTTTAACCTCCTCTGCCCGGTTGCCCACTGCAAAGAATCCTTTTATTTTTTTAAAAAAATAAAACTAGCTACATTTGAAAGGTACAGTTATCTCTGACCAAAACTCTGCCAGGGTATCAGGCAGCATTCAGTGAAATAGCAGTTGAGGTATTTGTTCAATAATTGTAAGATTCTAACAGATACAGCACAGCAAATCTATAACACACACAGAAGGGCTTTTTTGCTTCCTCTGCTCCTTCTTCATGTAGAAACCTCACCTTAGAGGACCCAGCTCTAGAATTCAAGGGAATAGAAGATGCTGGTAAATTCTCAGGAGTCTTATTCTTTTCTCAAAACCCACAGGAGAAACAGTATAATCAGAACGTGGAGTATTAATCTGAGCATTTTTATACCCCTTCTCTATGGGGACACTCTGGTCATAAGTGGTACCCAGTGATGGAAGAGCTGTGATGTGGGTGAGAGCATAAGAGTCTGAACAGCTAGTAATCACTGCACAAGTCTTAAGTCCTCTCATCTTAAACATTATATAGGATAACTTACACTATATAGAAGAAATACACCATATAATGGAAGAAATTTCCATGTTTCTCAAGAGACTGTTCCAAAATATTAAACAATATATGAGAAGACTTCACAACTCTGCATTAGCTATTTGTTCACAATCTTCTTCTCTACATCAATAAACTATGCAGCTAATGAGAACATTTTGGTTTTTTTTTTTCTTAATGTCCTCCTCAGCACCAGGTGGACAAGCTGACAAACACAGAAAATATGATAGATCTGATAAGTCTGCCCACTGGCAGATTTATCTACACAGTCTAATTGACAGAATTTAGAAGAGGTTTTAGGGAGATATGACTTTTCAAACCTGAGCAGAAGCAGGCTACCCAAAGCAATTAAATTTTATGTTAAGATAACAATGCTATTTTTAAGGGTATATCATTAATAATGTAATAAAACATGAGCTGTATTTCTTATTATCTTGTTAGGTGCAAGAAACCCTTTATTCCCAAAATTAATTTAACCCACTGTGCTGGAAGAATCTGAATAATTGCCTACATCAAAGAAGGTTTTAGAAGGCTGACACAGACATAAATATTATAGCGGTTGCAAATGAGAATGTTCTGCAAATTAAAGCAAAGTATAAAGCAGTGTTTCTGGATACCTACAGCCTATCCCACCCTTCTCAAGAGAAATAGAAAAGAGTTTGCCTATTCGATAACCACTCCAGTGTCATGAAAACAGAGATGGGTCATTTGTGCTGAACTCGGAGGGGCTAAAGTTTTCTTTGCACCCTTGAACTCTCTAGCCCACGCTGTCCTCATCTCCTCTGCTGCTCGGTGTGATCTCAGAGTTGTGACAAAGAAGCCTAAGATGCTCTGAATAAGAGAACAGAGCTGATAAAATTGCTAAACATCACAACAAACAATTGTAGATGAGAGAGCACAGAACTAAAAGCAGCCGTGCATCTCCTGAGGATACACAACCTACTCAAACTTGAACTGAATTATACCCAAGGATAGCTGACAAATGATTCATAATTGACCAGAATATGTTATTGGCCTCCCTAACTAGGAATGTTTGCAGTTGCCAGAGAGGTTCTCCCACAGAAAGGGAGCATGACAGTAAATAAGTGAGAAAGATCTGGTTAGAGACATGGATGAGCTCCTATGGTGACATGTGCTTTGTGTACTTGGAAAACATAGAAAAAGCTACAACTGCTCACCAAAGGAGAAAGCAATTGTACGGAAAAAAACCCAACACATAGGAAAAAAAATAAAAAAAAAAAGATCTGAAAATCCCAGGGAACCCAAACTGCACTAACCTGAGTGTGGCAAATATAGATGCAAATAGGATATAGGTACAAGAAACTGATTTTCAATTAGGCAAACTACACTTGGCTATGCACTCAGTTCTATTTTTTCCCAAGAACATGCAGAAGTGAAAGCGAAGAATTTCTACCTCATTAAGAGCATCCACATGGGCAACCTGTGCTAGCACACGTCCATCTCAGCCTACCTGCTCTGCTTTGCTAAGCACAGAACACGCCTGCAGTTTTGTGGCATGCTTTTGTACAAATATTTCTTGCTTCCACTTTCATGTTAAAATTTACAGAGGGGATAAAAAATACATAGTAAAATAGAGAGAACAAAAAAAAAACAGAAAGATCTAGAAAGAAAATAAATTGATGGAACGACATAATGCGAACACTATTAGTTATAGTTCCATCGCAACAAAGGCTTTTATGCCTTAATGCACTTCGCACTGGGTAAGCACCTAAAGAAAAGCTATATTTTAAGGTCCCTATATGGAAAAGCTGCAAAAGGTGGAATAAAAGGAAGTATATTAAAAAAAAAAAAAGGAGAATGAGAAAGAAAATAGAGATACAGAAGAGGAATGAACTGCTTATCGCCGTACTGCATGGAAAGCGGCTTTCCTAGATGCCAGTTCTGAACTGCATAAAGCAAATCATGCTGCCATCCCGCTTACAGTGAATAGTCCTAACACCCTGGCGAGGCAGGCAGGGAATGGGGACCCACTGACTTGAATTCCACTTCCATTTACAATATCCTTTCAGTAAGTAACTCTCTAGAGCCAAATCATGGCACTCGTTGATTGCCCAGGTTGAACCTAAAAGGATTGTTCACCCTTGTGCTCTCATGCACGTGTCAGTGTTATACAACTTGCCTCCTTAATAAGTGAGGCCGGATTTTTTTTTCCTTATTCTGTCACCAATTAAGAGATCCCAATTTATTTTTAGACTGTATTTTCATTGTTTTCAAGTGAAGGTAGAATAAAAGAAGCTACCCTGGCTGAAGACGCTGCGATGGCCAACAGCATGGCTGTTCCTCAGCCTGCTGCATTTGATTACGAAAATAATTATATATGGTTAAAGCTTAAAAACAAAAAGAAACATGTAAAATGGTAAAACAGTAAAATTGTACTCGTACACCACCATGAGGCTTGAGGTTAAACTATTTATACAAGCAGAAGAATTCTGCAGTGACACACAGACCTCAAATGAGCTTTCGGTGAGTTTTGCTGCACTGAAAACAGATGAGAGCCCAAATATGCTGTATGATTGATTTAAAGTTAAGCAAGAAGGCCAGGGGAAGGGCGGATATTCTGAAGCTAGCCAAAGTACTGGAAAGCATACAAACTGTGATATTTAACTGCAAATCAATGAATTTCAAGTGTGTAACGCTATGAAATCGTGACAGAAAGTCATCTGTGTAGAAGTCTGATTCAGAGAACTCATATACAATGATCACTTACTAGCACTTTCTAAGTCTGAGTTTTCCTATGCAAATACCATCAAGTTTTCCTCCACTCACATTTTTATGTGGAATATTTAGTAGCAAAAACATCTAATTAAAATTGTCTGAAGCAGTTGGATATATTCGTATGCTAGTTCCATACTGAAAATGTAATAAAGTCTGAAACAACCACCATTTCTTTGAAGCTAAGAAAAAAAAATGAGTCTACATCCCAAAAAGAAAATGACTATTTAAGGATATTATCATAAAATATAACTAGAACATTGCTTACCTGGGTGCTCGGGAAGCTGGGAAGATTTTCCATACACCTGCACATAAAACATTACATAATCAGACAGTGTGAAGTAAAATTTGCTAAGAATAATCCAAATAAATCTCGACGCTAGCCATATTCAGAATATTACCTGATACTTGGACTGCAATAAAACCAACAAAGAATAATGATAACAGAGTAGGGATAATAGATTCTTCATGATATTTTTAAGGTTAAAAGTACAACAGAGATCAAATTCCTGTAATGTTTCAGTCATAAGTTTTCCTTTGCTCCTTTTTGTTTTAAAAGGCACATTTTCCACGCAGGTTCAAAAAGTCTGTTCCTTTAGGAATGGCAAAATATTCTTCCAGATTCTTTTGATAATATCCACTTCCTTCACACTTTGATCTCTTCATTTATCCATAAATAAATGGTCACGATTGGAGCAAAATTATAAGAAACAGGCATCAGATCCCCAAATCATATTGTTCCACGAAAAGTTGTCAAACTTCTGTTACAAACTATGCCAAACAAAAGATTGCTTTCCGCTTTCTTCCTATAGTTGTCTCTTTCTTAGTTTCCTTCCTTCACGTTCTCAGAGATCTGAAGCCAGTTTAGGTTTTGCTAGCAAAAAAGTGCACTTCCTCGTAGCGCAGGGCGTAGAGCTCTTCCCCATTTCCTCAGTAACTGCACTCAAATGAGTTGTTAACTCCTCGCTCGCTCGGCCAGCTCACGTTTGCAGCTCCATCGCGGATCTCCTTGGGTGGAGAGCAAGCCCGGATGATGTCACGTTTTCTCCTCCAACTTTGTCCCATTCTGGTTCTCTATTTATATCCCGTTGCTGCCGCCTCTTTGCAGGGTCCTAACAGCAGCCAGCTGGGAACAAGTGGAAACAAATCAACGTGGTTGAGCAAACAGATGGGGGAGTTGACTGCTCAGCAAGCTGAATGCAGAGGAGAGAAACACAGCTGGGACAAGTGTTTGTATTGCAGTTTCATAGGAATAGGACAGTTTTTGGGGGGAAGGTTTTTGATGATTTTTGCTAAAATATTGAATTTGAAATATTTTTGCTAAAAACATGGGAATGGGAAATCACAGTCAAGTTCAAAAGTGGAAAAAAAAATAAAATAGGTAGAACCCGAGTCTCCCCTGAAGTGAGCAACTAACTATCCATACATTGGATTATAACCAAGTAAAACAGCAAGCAGTGTTTCCATCAAACCCTACAAGCTAATGCTGAACAAAAAGATGGAAGAGATATACAAATGTAATCTATCATCATAGAAGTCCTCCAACCCATCCTACCCTTCCTTTTTATTCGGCATTTCTTCAGTTTAGAAATATATCAATAAATTAGATCTTGTTTTCAGCCCCAGATGCTTACTGAAGCAGCAGAGCATTCTCTACCTGAAATCCATGAACACACAAGATGCTGATGTACAGAAAAAAATAGCATGCAATGCTCTTTCTATGCTCACTACTAGTCCTCTTAATCACAGCATTTTTTTAATAGCAGGCTCTTGGCTAGAATGGAGTATTGCTTCTTTGATGAAGCAATTTTCTACTGACACTCTCTAAGGAGATAATATAGCAAGAATGGCAGTAGGTTTACCTAGTGATCGTATCCTGATCTACCCAGCCAGCTTCTCAAACACACGCTGAACACCTGAAGTGTCTGCAGGTATCCAAATCTGTGCATATAACTGGAAAGTAGGGGGACTTTGGGACTCCAAGCACTGAAGAGAACATATTTAATTTAGAAAGCAGCAGGATATTCATGAGGCATGAATATTTCAATATTACAAAAATGAATTATCAGAGAAGTTCAATAGTGGAAGAAAATGAGTGTTTGGATTGTAAAACTGATTTTGGACCTACACTACAAAACTGAGAACTTCAAACTTTTCCAGGAAATGAAATTCAGTTTTCTGCTTAATTATAACCAGCCTGACTTCTTCTCCAAGATCTGCTAATCTCCTTCCATTGCTATAATAAGGCAAAAACTTATCTCTATTTGGAATGGAAAAAAATCCATGCAAACCCATGAATTCTGCATCAAACCCAAACGGGTAGGGCCACCTTAGAAATACTGAAGCGCTGCAGCAGAAAACCATGAGAAAAACTAAAACTTACAAAGAGAAACGTAGGAATTTGAAATATGTGCCAAGGAGGTCTGTCAAGGGAAAGAATACACTTACCAAAACAATTGCAAGAATCCAAGCAAACATGCTCACTGCCAGCAATTTTTTGTGGAAACAGCAAATTGCAAGCAGACAGAGATTACTTGCAGAAACAAAAATCTGGGTTTGATGTGATTGATCTGAGAAGTCACACGACTCCCACCACAGACCAGAGGTAACATGGGGAATCTTGCATGCAAGCCAGATCATCCAACCCAGCCCTTGGAAAACAAGCTGTTAAATTCTTCTTGAAGAAGCTGCACATGAGTTCATGCAACATGTAGATGAAATACCTTTACAGTACTTGCCCATCACTAATAGCACCAAGTTAAAATCTGGGGATTTATATGCCCCAGAACCGGGAAAAATAAGTTTGTTGTTGCTGGAAACCTCCTAACCAAACTCCAGAACAACAAAATAAACTTTAACAAAAATAAAAACGAATTGCTCTGACATAGGTGAGTGAGATTTTGTTCAGTTGCAATATCATCATAGCAGTAAAGAACCAAAATGGTTTTTAAAAAATTAATATTTGATTTAAAAATACAGTGAACTATGATGAGAAAAAAAAGTGAACTTGATTTTTAGCTCCAGCTTGTCTAGTTCACTTCATGTTCACTAAGGATGATTATGCTATTAAAGCAGAAATTGAGCATATACTATAATTACGTTTACTAGGAAATACCTTGAATTTAAAAATCTTTATCTCTGTGTAAGTACAAGCAGAGACAATAGAAGTTGTCTTACACTACCCAAGGCAAGATTTGTATAGTTTTTTTCCCCAGTTTTCACTAGGATCAATAAGTCTAAGCATGAGAACTTAGTGCAAAATTGGGACAGAAGAGTTTAAATAAAATCTAGGTGTTATATTTAACCTTAAATCTCTGTAAAAACCACAATCTCTACTAATACTCCAATAAATACTCTAGATTTTTAAATTTAAAAAATTGATCCTACCCTTGATAGGATACAGAAGAGAGATAGATGTTTTACTTGCATGAAAAATACTTCTAACCATCTGTATGTATTTATATCTGTATCAGTTTGATTAACAACAGAGAGATTCTTGCTAGAGAGCATCTTCTCACGAGGCTGAGACCATCCGGAGCACAACCAGGCTGCTGGGGCAGAAGATGCCCGACCTGATGGAGCCCGTTCAGGAGGAGCTGCACAAGAACCATTCCTAATGAGGACTCGAGTGTTTCTCACAAAAAAAGTGTTGCATTGCTGCCTGAAAATAATGACCACAGGTATTTTTTTACATCTCCAAAAAAAAAAAAAAAAAAAATCAGAAAGTAAACTGCATTACGAAAAATATCACATGAGATTTCCTTTGAGCCAACAACACCAAAAAGGACAACAGAACAGTTTGCATTGAAGAACAAAGCAACAACTCTTGGAGTGAATCAGAAGGCTAATGCTATCATGCAAAAATATTTTTCTAATTAAGAAAATGTGAAGTCACTGCGGCGGTGCCAGAAAACAAAATAGGGTTTTTTTTGGCAATAAGATTTAGAATGAGACAGATGGATACTTAGACCATGCCACAGTTGTAACATGAAGGTGATTAATTTACCTATAATTCTTCATGAAAACATCAAGAGGTTGATTCAAATACCAAGCAAATAGATAAATTTTATACAAATATTTAAATGCGTATAATGCATCTAAGCTTGTTTAGTCCTACTTACTAATAGTTATTGGATTAACAGTTATATTTTGGTTTCTATTGACTGTCATTATATGGCTTTCTATTTTTATTTTCTATTGACTGTCATTATATGGCTTTTGGGATTGTGGTAATGCCTTGAGCATCTTACTCTGGACACTGACAAAAAGCTATTTTTTTTTCTCCTCCCTCAAGAATATTTCAGGTGTTTGCAAATCCCAAAAAACTGTAAAAATGAGATTTTATTGAATCTTTGATAACCTGAGCCTTAATGCTTAGCAATAGAGCACCAAGCTTATGTAAAATTGGCTAATCCTATCAAATTTTAGCATATGGGTAAGCTAAGCCTTGTTTGCCAAAAATTCACTGCCTGTATTTGAGCATCATTCAGGTAGCCATTTTTTCTTAAACAGATGTGTTTCTCAGTGATGGTGTTTTGCCTTTAAAGTTGTTGCCAGATGCTCTTTCATGCCCTTTCTCTCATGCCGTTTGAGCTCAGGCAACCCGTGAACATTTCACTCAACTGCTTTGTGAAATAAGCTGATCATTCAGTCCCACACAAACTGAGTGCGCACCCAAAGTCAATTTGCAAGTTATTGTCAGTAAGAGCATCTGAGCCCCTTATAGATGCTATTAAAGCATCTACGGAACAACTAAATAAGACTGCAGAAGGCACAGAGACTGTGTGTAATGCAGCAGCAAAAGTTGTCTTCCAGATGAGATTAGTGCAGCAATGATAACTTATCTATGTCCAAAGCAATGTATTTGAACCATAGTTAGTGCACTTGCTGCTTAAAATGTTACTTGAAAGGATTTCTGCTTCCTCAAATCATCTGAGTTATTGATTTTCCCCCATCTACTGCATGCTTCCCCCAAACTGCAGGTTTCTGCAGCCTGCAGAAATGCAAACTACATTGAAACCAATCATTCAAAACATGTGATTTTTGGATATGAAAATGGATATGGAAATAGGACAAAAACATTCCCCCTGCCTAAAGGGCTTGCTAGTCTCAGTGACTTCCATAGCCTCCTTAAATCACTGTGTCATTTTAAGATGTCACTTAACAGCTGATGAAGACTGATATGACCTCTTCCAGATCTCTTTTAATTAATCATAAAAACACTGATTTTTCGGGACATTAAATGCATCTCTTCTTTCTCTTGGGTTCTAGGTCTTTCTAGCATACAGGATAGAGAACAAGAAACAGATCAAGCCAGAAAATACCCACCATGTCAATGTTCACATCTGCTGCTGCTTTGCTTACAACTCCACTAAGTTCTGTTGTCACAAACCAATGCACATGAAAGGGACATTCCAAAAGTGAACATTTCAATGAAGTGACACATGCCTTGTATTTAGAAGGAGGATCTATGCTATACTCAGAGCAGGTGAAAGCCCTCTGCTAGCAGCTTAATGCTAGCAAGTATCCACAGAGAGGGCAAGAGCAACTAAAATACAAAGCAACTGAAGAAGTATACTTAAAATATAGTATTCTCTTTCATCAGTTTTAGACAAGCAGGAGAGTAGTTTTTAGACTTGTGCTTACGAACTGTTATTTTTTTTAATCTCTAAATTGCTGAAGTATAGAAAAAAATGATAGAGTATGACAGCACTGACTTTTTCATGCTGAAAACATTAGGCTGACAAGAAACCTTCGTGTAATTCATTTTCTTGATCTATTTCAGTCTTAGCAGACTTAATTTATGAAGAAGAAATAACCCTATGAAAAATTGCAACTCCATTTAGCTTGTTTTTCAAAGAATAGAATTAATGTACAAAGAACACAATCCTGATCTACTCTTTAAACTTATATACACTGCTGCTACTGCACCTCTCTGGTCCTGGCAGATAAACGTCTCAAGCAGCAATTTTACAGTGGGCTTTCACAAATTAAGTGTAAGTGCTTGCTATTGTTAATGATCATAGAAGAGCCCGATGATGATTTCTTGTAGAATATATGCTGCTTGTGCAACCCCAACAGGTATTTTCGTTTAGTGATTTCGCTTGATGAAAGCAATTCCATAGAGATCGTGCCCCATCCTGTGGCTGAAACTAGAAGCACAGAAGCAACTGCTGTTCCTTTTTCTTTTCTAGGAGAGGCCACTTCCATACAGACCTGGAATTAAGTTCTCTTCCTTGGATGCTACATAGTCCCCTTGTAAATAGTCAGCAAGAAAAGAAAGTTATGCAGTAGCCATATGAGTAGCCACTCATTCTCCATGAGTTTTTTCCTTTTTTTAAGCTATCTACCTAGTTTAAAGCAGATCTACTGCTTAGACAGGGAGCCAAGTTTTTGTTTAGCCAAGCTCAAACCTCCTACCAAGTGGTATCTTCTGCATCTCTGACTCAGGCAGAAGATACCTCTGAAACAGCTCCTACTCCTAACCTTTAGGAAAGGGGGAATAAAAAGTGTGCTCAGTGTACTCATTAGCTAGTTTGAAACAATTTTTCCAATTAGATCTTCATTTTGGCCTTCAAATAAAACAAAGCATCTGAACCGAAATAAAAAGATACCAGATCTAAAATCAAATTACCATGCTCAATAAGTAACAGAAAGTGAGATGATTTGTTAAATTTAATTATGACTCATCTTTATTTGTAAAGTATCTCATTTGGCTCGAGTCCCTTCTCTGAATACCAGCACTGCAAAATCTGAAAACTCGAAGTTAAAAAGTTACTATATAAGCCATTAAGAAAAAAAATGGCTTTTTATTTTCACTGTACACAAAACACATTTCATTTCTCATCATGACTTCTCATAAGCACTCAGATAAAAACAACAGCAATTGCCGCTTGCTCATGGAGTCACAAGCATGAAGTAGCTGCAGTAGGAGCTGGTTAATATGATGTAATTCAACCAGCAAATCAGATAAGACCGACTTGTGAACAATGTCTGTAATTAAAGCGATCTCGAAAGACGCAAAAACCTTTTATGTGAATCACTCGCTTCTATTTTTAGCTTAAAGCTTTACATAGCAACCTTAAATGACAAGGGCTGTATCAGGAGACCAATTCCCATTCTTATGATTTATTAAGATGTAGACGAGAAAAAAGACACAACTATCATTACACAACAATGCTAAACTATTACCCAGGAAGAAAATGATAGATCAAGGATTTTTTCTTTTTTTTTTTTTTTTTTTTTAAATGATTATGACAGTCTCACTTCTCAAACAGTAATTTCATTTATACTGGTCTCATTCCAGCTGCCACCTCACACCATCCAGTCACAATATTTGCATTCATCCAAGCCCAATCTGTAACCTAAGCGAAAAATCAGGGTCTCCGTTAGATCCCTGGTCTAAAGGACACATACACCAGGCTTAAACACTTAGGACTAATAACCAAATATGTACTGATGTTAATCAAAGACTATGGTGGGTTCATCTATCTCAGACCTGCTAAATGGCTATAATATTAAGCCTTCCTCTCGAGGATAAAGCTTTTGCACATATAGCTTTCCATGACTTCAGCCAAGTTTGCTCTGAAGCAGACAGAACATGGTGTTTTGCCCCCTGCCGAAAGGGTTGTAGACCGTGCCAAGGGGACAGTTATAAAGAAGCCACATGGTCCTGAGCTACTAAGTCACTACAGCTGTTCCTAGTACTGTAGTCCGGGTATTGTCAGAGACAATATTAGTTATTAAAGCTACCAAACTGGGACAGCATGAACATTCATGATCTCCCAGCATTAGACTGAAATTATTCTACTAATACTGGGGGGTATTTAGTCAAGTCCAAATTGGCTGATGATTTTGGCTCTTATGTAGAGACAGTAAAAACGTTTCAGGATGCATGCAATGAAAGCCTCCCTCGTGGCATGTTTATATACTAGCTTGTAACACAAAGAAAGGGAGGAAAAAAAAAAAAAAACCACACACACACACACACACCACCACCCCCTAAATGCAACTCCTACAGCACAAGAAAGTCACCTTATAAAACACCCATTTGAAAGGAAGCAAAAAGCATATCTAGCTTCTCACAGCTGTTTTACAAACAGATGTCACAGTCCTGCTCTAAATTAGGCTATAAAGGCCCTATTTGACTGTTGCCAAAACCCAGGCAGGAGAAGAGGAACTTGTACCACTAATCCAGGTCAGAAAAGCCCCTAACTTCAACCAAGCTAAGTTTGCACATTAGGAAGGGGAAGACAGAAGAGAAGTTTGTGTCAGCACTTGGTTTCCAGCAGTTTAGAGCAAAATAACAGCAGGGCAAGAGAACACATTGAGGTGAAGTCCACATATGTTTTGTTGTAACATAACTTGCATATCGAAAGCAGCAGTGACAGATTGACCCTCCTGCTGTAAGGAGCTTCAGTTGCTGCATATTAAGCAGTATATTTTAACTAAAACATTAGAAGCTTTTTCCTCTTAAAGACTTTCTGCTGAAGTCTTCAGAGATCTACCAAGAACCACCTTATTTTTCTTAACGAAGCCCTTCCTTTAAAAGGCACAGTAATAATACACACTTCCAATAGTGCAGCATTTCCTCTACCACTCTCTTCAGCTAACGTCTCCACCCTGTGTTCAGGCCTGCACACACACATTTCCCTGGTGCTTTTCTCATCCAAGAGACCATTATATCTTTGTAAATGTATCCCGAGCCAAACATACACACATATCTAGCACTCAAGAAAGTGGAACAGAGTAGAGCCAGTATTGCAAGGAAGAAGGGACAAAGTCTCACGTTCACTCTCAATTAAGGCAGCACTTTAACACAGACTGATGTGACTATTTGGTAGACGGAGGTACCTGGAACGCATTATTTTATTTTGTCATTACTTACCTGGATAAAAAAAAAAAAAAAATAACTACTTGCTAGAGCTCCGAGTCCTTTAAGTATTATAGTTAGGGAACTACAGCTGAAGTGAATTTGCGTGAGCCATCTAAGCAACTTGCCTTATTTCTATCAGCAGTTAAACTCTAGATATGACAACTTCAATATAAAACTGTAAGCTAATGGACTTTAATCTCACTCCCCAAAACATCATGAAGTCTGAAGACTACACAACAGCTAACCATGTATTACCACCTACATCAGAGTAATTTTGGGGGACTTGAATAATTAAAGGTTACAAAGCCAAACCTCTGTACATCAGGCAAGCTGTAGATATCACACCACACATGCACACACTGAAACAGTGTAGAGATGCATTTTCTTCTCCTTCAAGTGTACAGATTCAAGTATCCTGCAATAATTCTGCAGTGTTTGTACTTTTAGAGCAGTGCAGTTTCACAAACAGGCCAGTTTAAAGAAAAAGCTACTGCACCTAGTAAAGCAGCAGCAAATAATCAAGCTAGCAGCATTAGCCATTGTATGCACAGTAAGTTAGTGGCTACACAGAGGGAACCCAAAATACAAAGTTCAAGCAAGGTGATGGAGCAAGATTGAATTCCCCAAGCAGGAGTCAGTCTTTTTAACTGCAGCAAATAAAAGCATACAAAACTCCTCTTATTAGTTTCACGTTCTAAATACCACAACTCAGCTTTGCACTAACTGGTTAAGCATTGCCGAACTTGCCCTACAGAAGCTTGATTCCTTTACAATAGCGTTTAATAAATAGCCTCTCATAGCTTACTATCTTTTACAACCATGTATCTGAAACTCTAAGAGGGTTATTTAGGAAATAATCAAAGTAGCAGAAGTTATGTACACAAACATGCAAATTAAGAGGAATAAATGAAATGCTTCACTTTATTAAGAAACCAAAAATACAAAACTGAAGAGTTCAAGGCTTCATGTACTCAAACACTACTGAAAAATGGAATCTTAAACTTATATTGTTTACTAGCAGTACTAATATTGACCAAGATTAATTTCTACAGGATAGTGTTAAAAGTTGACATTTTCCACCATTTGTGCTGTAATAAGCTAGAGTTTCAAATTAAGAACTTGGTGCAGTTACAGTAAAGTCTTGATATTTATACAAGTGTGGTTTTAGCTGATATGCCGTTTTGTAGCCAAGATCTTTTTAGCTCAACTACAACTTTCTCTAGTTAGTGAGTTTTAGGATGAGCAGGATTTGTTTCATCAGCTATAGCTCTACTGAATGACATTCCATGCAAAGATACAGCTTTTACATCACTTAGGAGACTTAGATGCTGTTTGTTTCAGGCTAATACAGAGCTCTCAAGGCATGTTGTAGAACATACTGCAAGTTATATTTTAGAGAATATCTTAAGGTAGCATATGCAAGCTGAACTACTCAGGGAGCCCTGCAGATTACATAAACGTGCCCGTTCATATGGGATAGTTTATGCTGACTTGTTGATTCAGTCACACTTACCAACCAACCGTTCACTGCTTTAGCTTTACCTGACAGTTCAGCTCTCCTCAGGTGCGAAGTTACAGGCTCCAGGAAATAAAGGGAAGGTTAACTGAGCTCTGATTTAGTAAGAGCAGCATAAGGGAGGGGAGAAGGTTTGTGGAAGAGGAAAGGAGACACACAGACAATGAATTATTAGCTTCAAGTAAAGAACAGAAGACACTTCTGGAATAATTATTCCTAACAATGCATGAAAGTTCACTTGCTTAGAGATATTTGAAATACAACTTTATTATCTAAACAAAAAAAAAAGAATGGGAATGACAGAAACAAGATTTACCACTTAATACTCTGATGTGACTGCAGCAGTCTTATATTTGAAACTCAAAGGGGAAGTAATTGCAGTCCAAAAAACAGCTAAATATGCAGGTCCAAAATATGAAGTTTTTTTGTTTTGTTTTTTAAACTGCCACATTCACTCCGAAGCCCATTCATCTCTTTCAGCATCCCAAAGATTAAGCACATGTTCTGCTCAGCTAGATAATAAAGTGGCAAACACGCTGCACCACTGACATCACAGGACAGTTGCCTATAAAACTAGACTTCTGACGCTGGGCTCCAGCTTCATCCCTCACAGGTCATCATCTTCATCTGGCAGTGCAGTGGTTTGAGCAATCTGAAAGAAAAAAAGCTACATTTAAGAATTGTTCTTCACTTGTTCGCCCCATAGTATCAGACAAAGGCCACAGACACAAAGTGACTGCCCATTTCTCAGTTACCTGTAAGTCTTGCTCATACTGTGCTGCCAGTGCTGGGTCCATAACAACTTCTGGGGGTGCAAGAGCAGGCATGGCAACAAACTCCAAGTTAGGATCTCCAATTAGCTTTCTAGCAAGCCAGAGGAAAGGCTTCTCAAAGTTGTAGTTACTCTTAGCTGAAATGTCATAATACTGCAAAGATAGTACATATTAGACACACAATCTCATTTTCAGCAATTCTAAGATTACTAAAACTAGTATGTATTTGATCAGCTCTGTTTTTACTTTCCACTCATCCACTGCATGATCTTCATCTACGTTGTCATAAAAAGTTAAGATCTTAAGGTCTACAAACAGTTTTAGGTGGATAATTACTGTATACTGTCTAACTAAGTACACAGTAACTGACCAAGGATCAAACTTCCAGGAGATAAAGCATCTACTTAATTTTCCTTGCAACTTGCTTATCTGGAAGGGTCTCTGCAAGGCCTGATGAGACTCTAAACAGCAAAAGCCAAATGCATATAAACTCTTTTAATCTCTTATCATAGCTTCTCCTCAAGGTTATGAGTGAATCCTCAACAAGACCCATTCCCCCTTCCCTGAAGTTAGGTTCAAGACACAAACGGGATGTAAAGTTCATAGAGAAAGATTATCAGATTATCACACAGAACCCAAATGTAGTTTAAAGTTTAGTAATTTGGATTTCTACAAATTCATGCCATCATACCTGGAGATTCTTCTTCCTATGGAAGACAATGGATTTTGCCTTGACTTTTCTGTCCTTAATATCCACTTTGTTGCCACACAACACTATAGGGATATTTTCACATACTCGTACCAGATCTCTATGCCAATTAGGTACATTCTTGTAAGTAACTCTTGATGTTACATCAAACATTATGATGGCACACTGAGCTGTAAGAAAAACAGCAGTCAATTTACACCAATGCAGTTAAGAACTCACCTTGTTATCAAGGGACAGAAGTACAGCAATTCCATATTACGTTACAATGCCTGCCTTAACTCTTCCCCTCAGCATAGGTGTTCTGAGCAGCTATCTTCTGTATAGAAGTTCTATACACAGAAGGGCACAAAATCCAGCCCACGATTATATGCCATCTTGTTTAGTGTCCAATATTAAACATGAGCTAGCTATACTCATACAAGTGTCTCATTGAATATCACAGTGTTGCACAAAGTTGGAATAGACTCAAATTACAAACATTAACTTTGATTTACCTAAGTATTTGACTGAAATTAGTTAACACCTATTTAACTGATCTCAGACATCCTATCCAGACTGCCAGCTGAGAGGCTGTAGTCCACGTGTTGGGTTGTCCTGGTTCAAAAGGAGTTTTTCAAAAAACACAAGTGGTTGACTTGATGCTGTTATTTGTAAAGAAAAGCAATATTGTCAAACTAATAATCCCTTGCAGAATTTCAGGGATACACAGCATAGGACCTGCTCAAGTCAAAATTCAGAGACAGTGTCAATACTTCTTTAGAAAGACAAAGGCACTCTGGTGAGAAAATTTACAATTTGATCTCCATCAGTGTTCTTGAAAAGTTTAATTTATTAAATCTGGAATGCTACAGTTGGTGTTAGAAGTCCTTGCCACAAGACAGTTAGTTGATAGAGGCAAGTTCATGCAGACCAAAGCATACAAGTATACAAGTTCAGTGATAGGCAGCTTTTATTTAAAAAGCGCATTACTACTTTTTGCTGATATCAAAGCCTACATTAGCATATAGATACAAAAACTGCTAAGATTATTCCTACTTTACAACTACTTACAACAAAAAATACCAGGCCTATACAAGAGTTCATAGAATCACAGAATGCTTAAGGTTGGAAGGGACCTCTGGAGGTCGTCTAGTCCAACCCCTGCACACGCAGGGTCACCTAGAGCACGTGGCACAGGACTGCGTCCAAGTGGGTTTGGAAGATCTCCAGAGAAGGAGACTCCACAACCTCTCTGGGCAGCCTGTTCCAGTGCTCTGTCACCCTCACTGTTAAGAAATTTTTCCTTAAATTCCTGTGGAACTTTTGGTGTTTCAGTTTGTGGCTGTTTTCTCTAGTTCCATAAACTCAGAAGCCAGGCTCACCACTGTAATCTCTCTTCTAAGCTTCCTCAGTGGCAACGTTAACAGAACGCAGAAGGACTGTAGGAGGACTGTAGAAGGTGCAGAATATTGCTACAGCTACACACATCTTACCTTGAATGTAATAGCCATCTCGCAGACCACCAAATTTCTCCTGGCCAGCTGTGTCCCATACATTAAATTTAATGGGACCTCTGTTGGTATGGAACACCAGAGGATGAACTTCAACACCCAGTGTTGCTGTAATAAGAAAAAGCAGCTTTTTCCTTAGTAACTTGTGATTTCCACTTCTAGTTATAATATATTAAATCTAAGACACTACCGCAGACATACCTACATACTTCTTTTCAAATTCACCAGTCAAATGACGTTTTACAAACGTTGTTTTGCCAGTACCCCCATCACCAACCAGGACAAGCTGTTGGCATAAAAGACAAGTCAGTCAGGGCATTAGAAGCTTATCATTGCTTTCAGTATAAATACTTACAGAAAATTCTTTACAGCATTTTGTAGGACTGAGATGAGACCAAAAATGTCTAAAGAGCAACTCAAGGTACTAGGACCTGAATTATCAAGTCTATTATTTTCTAACTCGAGTTTTTCGGTTGCATAGCTGAACACCAAGAAGCACTGTATATGTTTCTGCTGAACAGCAAATGAATGAATTGAGAACATGGATTATCCACCCCAAAAGTGGCAACACTTCAAGAGACCAAAAAATAACTTAGTTGGAGAAATTTAATATAACTTTACAATTAGGAAAGCTACACTACAGGACAATTAGAATCCAGGTACCTTGTTTGTTAACCAAGCACTGCAGTAAATCTAACTAACAAATAAAAGATTATGAGACCCCTCATGAGGGGTCTTAACAACTTCTGAGTGTTTATTAAAGACACAACCTAAAATACTTGGTTCTAAACTGCATTCTTTAACCTTTGCCCCAGTCTTTAATAGTGCTTTTTTGAAACTCTAAGCACATTTTTTACCCATGTTACTAACTGTGAACCTCAATTTTGACATTATTTCCAATCAAGCTATAGCCTAAGCATCATTAGGCATTATTAAACTGCAAGTAGCAGCACACGGATGATGCAAGTATTACAATAGAAGCTTTTTTATATTATGCTAGAATAATCTGAGCGCACTCTTAAGGATGAATCAACAATTCAAAATTAAACATCCCATCACTGGAATGAGAGTTGCCCATGCTAGTTTTCTAATGAATGAATGCGTATATAAAACACACAGCCGCTTACCTTAAACTGCACTTGGGGCTCTCCTTGGGCGGCCATGCTGGGTCTGCAGGGGAAATGGAAGCATGTGAGCGCACAACAGGCAGGCTGGTTCAAGGCCCAGCCGGAAGGGGCCGGGCGCCCTTTCCAGCTCCCGAATGGCCTCCCAAGGCGCGTGCTCCGCGCGGCCGCCGCCGCCTCCCCGTCTCG